TTCACCTGTGTGGGCGGTCTTCCTCGTGGCTCGTTCTTTAAGTCGAATTTTCCATCACGAAAGCGTTTAAACCAAAATCGCACGGTGCGTTCATTAGTGGACCCCTCTCCAAACGCAGCATTGATATTGCGGGCTGTTTCTGCCGCGTTAGTTCCGCGTCCGAACTCGTATTCAAAAATCACTCGAATTTTCGCAGTATCCATCTTTCTTGTCTAAATTGAATAACAAAAACAATTGAAAGTCGATATTCAAATGTTTCAAATTTAAAAAAAAAAATCACAGAAACCATTTGAAAAAAGTTTCATTCGAAAACCTCAAACCATGAAGATTCTATGAAAATTCAAAGAACCTATTGCAATAAAACGGCAATTTCATACTTTAACCCCTAATATAATCAGGCATTTGCATGCCATTTAATATACGCGAAACATGTTTATACTAACACTGTCTCTTGTTACATCTCCTGTTATACCATGTTTTAAGCAAATAAGCGTATGATAATAATATTATTATTAATAATGTTACTACTTTCATTTATTTCCAAAATTAAATGGAATTATTAAAGCTTCACTTAAATCAGTCACTGATATTAATTTCATACCAACGCATAAATACAAAAAAACTTACATTATTTGTGGAATCTGTTTAAATTTATCTATGAAAATATGATTCTTAAGGTTGGAAATGTATAGGATTTATATTTCAAAGTTTTCTCTTTTTTATATACTCTTAAATTACAAATATTATTTTTGTCTGCGCAAATTCACTTTTCGTAACATTTGAGTATTTGTAAATGCAAAACAATAAATTCAATATTTCATGTGACACTCCCGGATATTCTCATAATAACCTAAAATATTCCCAAATGGAATATTGATCTATTTAATTAAATGTTTGCAAGTCGATAATGTCTTATCGATAGATTATGGCACGACACTAAAGAAATCCGCCATTTGTTCGTTAAATTTTTGTTTAGGTATGCACGTTCATTCCGTTGTTAGGGCAGCTCCTTTCTTTTATTTTTTCCATCCTCTAAGGAGTACGTACGTTTTTAATGCAAAATTCACACAGTAAATTAGCGTGAATGAAAGAATGAATGAATGAAACACAATAAATATTTTGAATTTCGAACGAAATTTAAAAAGTATGTTTTTTTAGTTGTACAGTGCTTCTATTTTCTCAATGTCCCTCGCCAAACTTCGTGTCGGCTGTGTCGTCGAGTTTTATTCAGTTGCCCTTTGCATTTGGTACAGACTGGACGCCTTTAGTCGACTTAGACAGATTTATACAGATTTATATAGACTTAAACTTATACAGAGTTGCTATTAATTTTTTTTTATTTATAATACAATGGGAGGAAAGCCACTGAAGTCACAGACACGACAGATACTTTACAGCGACTTGTATTTTTTACAAGACGCCGATACGTTCAAGAAAGACAACAATGGTTTGCTTTGAATTTTCAAAAAGTCCAAAAACGTGTTTTTTTTTATAATTATATATTATACGCACACACTCGACATGGCCCCGGAAACCTGCGTCGCGAGTGCTATGGACGCACACATAGACAACCACAAATTACACCCAAACTCACGAGAGAAATAAATGTAGGCCATACAAATATTTCTCCCGGCCCGGGAATCGAACCTGGGACCTGTGTGCGGCAGCCCTGCATGGTAAGCGTTCGGCCACCGAGGCAGTCAATTCAATGTTTATGTAGCTTGTGGT